CTATCAAACAGCCAAAAAAGTAGAATGTGGAAAATATTTTCATAGTTCCCTGAAAAATTTGACGTATCAAACAGGGCCTTAGAGCTGGAAAAACGCGAAAGTAAACAAAAAAGGGGGAATTCGATTTTTCGAACAAAATTGGTAAGTGAATTTTGAATTTTATAACCTATATGGTTCTTAGTTGTGGTGAAGATTTGGGGGGAATTTATGGAGCGAAAGTGAAAGTGGTTTTCGTTTTGAAAAGTTCGCAACATCTGGATGCTCCCAAGATATTTTTTTCTTTTTTCTCACTATTTCAAATATTTACAATTCAAAGTCATTTACTTATAAGTAGTTTTTTTAGCTTAGCCAAACATGCTGAATAATTTATTTTTCTGACGAGTATTGCTTTTGGAAAATTTAAAATTTACCTCATTGGTATAATTACTTTATTTTAACTTTTAAAAAAGAAATTTTCATTTCAAAAACAGACTTTTTCATCAAACTTATTTTAAATTACACATTTTCTCAATAAAATAATTTTGCACGTAAATTTATAAAAAAACTTCTATTTTTTTATTATACATTCTTCCAAAAAAATTATTTTTCACTTAAAATAATCTCTCTCAAACAAACATATAAATTTTCTTAGAAGTAAACCTCTTGGACTTGGCCAAACATGATCTTTTGTATAAATATATAAAATGAAAATGATTATTCTACTTGTACAGTTGTACATTAAGGGTTACATAATTTACATGTGACTTCTTGTCATTAATCGAAGGAAAATATTTTTTTCCTTCGACTCGTGATATAGTGCCACATGTAAATTATGTAATCCTTGATATACATATAACAAAACCCTAATGGAAATGTACTTCAAAATTTCAACTTGTGTTAACAGTTGCGTTGTCTAACGACTTCACAATTCATGAATCCAAATACCCTTTTCACTTGAAATGGATTCATTTCATACAGTTTTTTTTTTTCTTTTCTCGTTCTTTTTTTTTTTTTTTATTTCAAGAACCAAAATGCCACACAATGCTAGTTTTCTAACACTGGTTTTTGAATTTACTCAACCTTTTCTTAAATTTCATAATTCATGTTTTCCAAGTACTTGGTGGCTAAGGATTGTCAAACATTTTAAAAAGAAGTTTCATTTTAGTGAGAGCGTGTGTCAAGTATTCATGTGCGACTCATAACACGAATAGAGAAGAGAAAAAATAACTAAATGGGGGTGAAAACACTAATTGGATTTTATAAAATCACTTGTGAATGAAGAGTTTGTTATTAAATTGTCTACCATGTACAATTTTCGAGTATATGCTTCTGCGAGAATTACTTCATCATGCCGGAAAATCTCTAAGATATTCTTCTATGTTTATCAAAACACTAGCTTGCACGAGAGATTCACAAATTATGTGAACCAAAATTCACAAAACAAATGAGTCTTGTAGCTTATAAAACAAATAAGTTGGAATATTCCACGTAAATGTCACATTTGGTCCCTAACATTTGAAGGTTGTGATGTTGGATCCACAACCTATCATTTGTAGCACGTTGAGTCCCTAACCTATGTAAACATCTTTCTTACGAAAAATGTTGGATCGAATAAATCAAATTTTATTAAAATAAGCATTCTACCCCTCATTTAAAAAAGAGAAGGCAAAAAGGAAAAGGCAATCCCCGAAAAAATATCAACATTGGGGCGATGGAGGGCAAGGGGTTTCTAGGGGTTGAACCCCAACCTTGAAGGTCTCCCGTCGTCCCGCCTCTACAGCATTGTGGAGGAGGTAAATTGTGGGATGTGCCTCAACATGTCATAATTGATTTTTGAGAAATTATATTCACATCGTGATTTTTATTTCTTGTATCACATTTTAATTGTACTTAAGGTTCTAAGTCTTTGCTTATTATAACACTTATATCCCTAACAATTTTTCATGTCATTCTTATCATCAAATTTTTCGTTAGATAACCCATTTTGTATTTCATGTTCAAAAATACGTTGAAATGACATTAAACAACTTATTTTTTCTTCATATTTTTGAATGATAAATAAATAAAAAGGTGCAAAATATATTTTTTCCTCATGTTAAAACATGAAAACAATATAATTTGATATAAATCATTATCAAGGATGAAATATATTAATTAATGGAAGACCGAATATAAAAATTCAACGAAAAACAATCAAGGAAATAATTGTTAAAATGAGTAAAGATCGAGAAGCTTGACTACAATTAAACTATGGTGTCTCAAATTAAAATTTTGGTGGCAATA